ATATACCTTATAGTAAGACGGAGTACAATAGGAGAATACCCGTTACACTTGCCTCCCTCCTGCCTCGACTGGGAAAGGCCGGCTTGCCAGGTCATAAATGCTGCATTTCACAAATTTTCACCTTTGTAACTGCAAGTACAGCCCAGTCAAAAATATGGTTTTTAATACGAACTTCATGTACTTGAACTCTATTCCACATTGAAGCAACAGTCCAGCCTGAAATTTATTTTGTAATACTAAACATTATGGAGCCGAAATTTTACATTATACCAAAGAATTGTTTCTAAAATGACAAAAATATGACCTTATTTCAAAATTATGCCAAAATATGCTGTAAAACCAATAAAACTCTAAAATATGCATTTATATGCACAATAAAAACGATATAATTTCAATAAGAATGACTGGAAACATGCATAATTACATTTAAAAACAGGAATAAACCCTAGGAAAAAAATATGACATGTCATAGAAATCCGGGCCCTAGTCATCACATAGGCAAACTAGAACTGGGTACTCCCAAATATACATTATCTCAGCCAACCTGATGTGTTCAATTTACAATTCATTCTACAATTCTCCAGAATGTTAACTGTCAAAAACTTCCTGAAAAAAAAATCTGTACCTCTGTACACAAGACACATACATCACAGCCCACCATTCTCTTCATGCTAATACAGTAACATTAAATTATGTTGCAGCATCAGGTAGTTCGCAATGCTGAACATGTCTCACAAATTGAAAGGTGTAGCAGTTCTGACCTTCCTGGTCTCTGCTCACCTTGCTTCATTGACGACAAGTGTGCCCACAGCCAGCTTCAGAACCCAACTGTTCCATCAGCCAGTTCATATGTTATCTCTCTAAAATACATTTATGTCCACTGTTTTGTATGCATTTCTAATTTTTCTCATTAATGCTACACGTCATTTCCTTCCTAAATCAATTATACCAACATCATATGAAGAAGGCGACACGGTAGTGTAGTGGTTGAGGCACTGTCCTACAAGCCTGAAGGTTGTGGGTTGAAGTCCCAATGAGGTCACTGGAATTTTTTCAATTGACCTAATCCTTCCAGACGTACTATGGCCCTGGGGTCAACTCAGCCTCTAACACAAATGAGTACCAGGAATTAATTAATTTTCCTGGGGAGTGAAGCGCAGCTGACACATAAGGCTGACAACCTTACCGCCATCTTTGAGCCGACTGTCTAGATAATGTGGCACCTTCAACGTCTCACAACCCTATGGGCCTTAAGGGCCCATTACAGGGTAGCTTTACTTACTTTATCATATGAAGAGTGAAATTTTGAAGTTCCTAATTATGTATGTTCTCAATGTGTTCATCACTCACATCAAATAGATCAAATTTGACACATAAAACAGTTCTGTATTGTTTAGTTTCATGACTGATCTGAACCCAGGCCACTTTGATAATGTGGATTCTGACGCCTATAAGGGTTACAGATATGGGTATCATCGCGTCATTTCCAGCGTGCACAGGCACACAGCACCTCCACAGGTAAAAGCAAGAAAATACACAGAACAATAGCGAAAGACAAAGTGAAATTGGAATATTGGACGCACTTGAAAATGATACATCACACATCAGTGCCCAACTGTATACAAATGCAAGCTTCTCAAGTTGGTGGTAGTGACCTACTTTACCTTCCATTGTGACATTCACAACTTCTTGAATGAACTCTGTTACATTTTCAAATAGATTGTTATATAGGTATAGTCTAATTGCATAAAAATTCCAATGGGTAACTCTAAGGCTAGAAGAGCACAACCACATCACAATCCACACACAAGCATTGCAACTTCCAGTAGTATCAACCTTCAACAGGCAAAACTGTTAAGAGCCTAAACAATTATTTTTAAACAGTCTGACTGCTCTTTTAACCATTTGAATCCTGTTTCTGTATGCAGTGAGCCCCATCCCACTATGCAAACTCTACCCTTACAGCATGCTCAACACTGTTATGGGTTTTGTCAAGGAACGGAAACAAACCTTGGGCCTTTTGAAAATGAAAACTATTCTTATTTCTTAGAAATACATCTCCCAAAGTTCTCATTCATCTGGACAATAAACATATCAAACAATTCAATTCCATATATTTTCATGTGTTCTCATTGTAGCCGTTGCATAGCAATAGAAATCATATATCCTGCGCCACTACACATTTTATATATATATATATGTGTGCATTTTTTTTGGTGTCTCCACCTTATCGTGGTGAGGGGGTTTGAGTATGCCAAGGACCCTGAGAGCTATACCAGCGGTAGCGTAGCTACTGGCAGGGCCTCCCTTGCTGGACAGGTCAAAGGGTAGGCATCAGACGAAGAGAGACACCAAAAACCAAAAACTGATGCCGGAAGCAGCGTCATCAGCAGCGACTTGAAGCACAGAGCAAATGATGCTCGAAATGGTTCAAGTTCATATAGCAACAGGCGTGACCAGAGTGGTTTGTAATGGCTGTTGTACTGCGATGTGGAAAGCAAATGGAAAAACTACCACATTACCACTTTTCCTGGAGAGTCTTTTCCAAAAACAGAGACACCATGTAGGTGAACCAGAAGACGAGGAAGAAGACGTAAGAAGATGCTGGATGACTTTGGGGACAGAAGAGGATATTTTTATTTGCAGGAGAAAGCTCTGGATCGCCTTAAGTGGAGAAACTGTTTTGGAAGAGACTGTGGACCTGTCGTCTGACAGATTACTGATGAATGAATGAATGAATATTTTCATCTTTCAAAGACTCTGGAATCTAACCTGGAGCAACTGGTTGGATGAAATGTGTACCTTAGTGACATCTACACACACGATTCTGAAAACTGTATATATCTGTAGTTATGATTTTTGTCAAACCACAGTTCAGACATATCATGCCATACAAGAATGTGGTTCAGAGTCACAGGGAAATTCCATCCAACCAGTAAATTGCTTTGCAGAATTTCCCTCCACTGAAATCGCTGTTCTATAAGACACTGAAAAATATCAGACTTACACTTCCTTTATTTATTTAATAAATGTATTACATGAAGTAGGTACGTGGTTTCCTCACAGAGAACCGAGGCAACAGGTTCCTCTGCTGGATACGTTTTGGCAGAGGGAACCTGATCTTGGAGTTGTGAAACTGCTTGACAAGAGGGCGTCGACAGTTGGCTGCCTTCACCTGCTCCACCTTGATGATCTGGATCGAGTGTGCTCTGGCCCGGTGGCGAGCCCCCATGTCCCGGTAGCACTGAGTCACTGCCCCAGACACGCTGAGGTCACGGTACTCACGGTACATGTTGTGAGTACCAGACCGCGAGTCATAACGCAGCCAGATGCCAAAGTTCTTGATCTTCACAGGGGATTTCTCTGGAATCTTGAAATCAGGAAACAAAATGGCTGCTGCATTCAGCTTTAAGGCACTTATGAAATTACCACTGACACATGGAACCACACATGGTTCAACTTTGTCACTGTCAGACAAGCTGACATAGGACCCCTTATTTGAACTCAAGAGAAAATAAAAGTTTACTTCATTATTTACTTTTATTAATGATTTCAGCTATCACTGGACAATGTGATATATATAAATATTTCTTTTATTGCTAGTGGGGTGGGACTAAGTCCCTTGTACTGCGGCCACTTCTGGCCTATTGTACCAGCCCCAGATGATAGGTGAGGGTGATTGTGGAACAATTAGTGGAATGAAGATTGGCAGGGGAAACCGAAGAGCTCAGAGAAAACCTGCCCCCAGCACACTGTCCACCACAAATCCCACTTGACCAGACCCGGGATCGAACCCGGGCCGCCGCAATGGGAAGCTAGCGACTAACTGCCTGACCTATGGCATAGCCCGATATACGTATAACTATGAACAGCTCATCTAACAATGTCATATCAACTACAAGAATTATGTGACGATAATTACAAGCAGGTGGTATATGCAGGTAGTGTTACTTTTCCACAGGACAGAGCTGTAGATTTGCTGCTAAATTACTTACATGTTATCATGAACTACACTTACCCGTTTTATGGAAACGATTTCACCAGTTGTTTTCTTGAACTTCTTTAACTGTCGCAGGAAATACCAAAATCTTGATTTTGCCACAATGGCATCAGGAGCAAAGATCCTCATCTTATACAGGGGAGTGACTTTCTCCTTTTCTGTGGGCAGCTTACGCCCAATCACTTCAAACTCCTTCAACTGAAAAATAAAATAATCATCTATAACCATTGAGTAACAGTATTCTCCACAATATTTTGGTACCATATCCAACTGAAGACATGAAGAAGCCTGTGAACTGTAGTCACAAGAGACAAAACTAGAACTGGACAGAACAGGCACACATGATGATGGCCCAAGTAGTTACCTGGCTAGTATATAAATTGTACACTAAGATACTTACTTACTTAATCATGGAGCTGAGCCTTTCTTGAGGAGCCTCAAATTCTGTAGCTACTCAAGAATTTTCCAGCATTTATGGAACCCGAAGGTTCATTACCAGTTCACAAGAGCCCTCCACTGGTCCCTATCCTGAGCCAGATCAATCCAATCCATCACATCCCATCCTATCTCTCTAAGATCCATTTTAATATTGTCTTTCCAGTGGTCACTTTCCTTCTGGATTTCCCACCAATATCATATATGCATTCCTCTTCTCTCCCAATGTGCTACATGCACTGCCCACCTCATCTTCCTTACATACATGTATAGCTCATAGTTTCATTGATCCACTGTCCGATCTGCACTGGATATAGAATTCGTCATAAAAAGACTTGATTCCAAAGAAACAAACAAATTAAGAATGATAAAAGACACTTATACACCACTAGAACTACCCAATAATGGGTGAAGCTTAGTCACGTCAACCATTACAAACAATACATTCATTTATCCAGCTCAATTTGTGCTTGAAATGTATTCATCTATTGAATAAAAAACATTTTAAATAAGAAAGTTTTTCAATGTAGGCCCAAAAATATTCACACTGTCTTTCAAAATTTATATATTTTGGGGCAGATTATTATAAATTATGATCGATGAATACAACACACCTCTTTGAATCCAAGATAGTCTTACTGAGGAAACATGTAACTTTTCAAACTGTTTTGTGCGTATATGATGAATAGCATTATTTGTTTGATAAACATTATGATTTCTAACAACGAACAACATAGCATATATATATATATATAAACAAGGAACTGTTAAAATTCTCATTCTGTTAAAGCCTTCTTTACAAGAGCTTCTAGGACTTAATCTTAACATAACCCTAACTGCCCTTTTTCTTTGGCTGCAAAAATGATTTTCATTGCTGGGGAAGAACCCCACAAAATAATACCATATTCAAGTTGTGACTGATAATGAGAAAAACATACCATTCGCAGGACTTGCTCACTAACACAAACTGTAACTTCCTCAGCATGAAACATGCTGTATTCAATTTTCTTAATAATTTTCAGTGTTGTTTCCAATTAAGATGATCTACATACATACCCAAAAATTTAACATTATCTTCAACTTTAAGACCTAAATTATTATGTTACTGACAACGTATATATTCCGGAGCCTTCAGGGTACTACAAATTTAATCAAATGAGCTTGTCCCAAACTAAGTACCAGATGATTACTTTGAAACTAATTAGAAATGAGTTTCATTACTATATTTAATTTATTGTTCAAAGTATCGAGATCATTTGATGTAAATGTAATTGTGGTATCATCTGCATACAAAATAGTATGTGCTATATTTTTTTTAGGATATTTGGGAAATCATTAATATAGACGCTGAACATCAGTGGGACCAGAACAGATCCCTGGGGAACACCATACATGCTAGTTTTCCACTCAGAGGCTGCGGTAACTGAATTGCTAGTCTGCAAGACAACTCTTTGCTTCCTATTACATAAATAAGTCTCAAACCATTTCTAAATAGAACCTTTCACTCCATAATACTTATCAAAAGACTGTAGTTAACACAACTGAATACTCCTGTAAGATCACAAAAACACACCTACTACAAGCTCTTTAAGGTTCCATGCTTCGATAATAAGATCAGTTAAACTGAAAACAGCAGTTTGTGTAGAAACACCACTACAAAATCCATACTGCTCAGCAGCAAGAATATCATTATTTACTAAATGTTGTTTCATCCTGTTGAACACCAATATTTCAAATAATTTAGAAAAACTTGTCAATAAAGATATCAGTCTATAATTATAAATTTCTGCAGCATCACCTTTCTTAAAACATGGTTTGATATTTGCATATTTAAATTGATCAGGGCAAATGCCAGAATTTAATGAGTGGTTATAAATATGAGCAAGAGGTTTAGCTATCTGTTCTCCACATAATTTGATAATTTTATTAGACAATCCATCATATCCACAAGATGTCTTAATCTTTAATGACAAAATTGAGCTTGACACTTCTGCTGCAGTAACTGGAATATTTACTATTTCAGAGAACTTATCAGAACAGCCCTTGCAAAGTAGAGGTAAAAAACCTTCGCTGCGTTATTAGTGTCAATTTTTACATTTCCATCTCTCACCGCAGAATAGGTAAATTTCTTGTTGGGCTCTCGGTCAATTTCATTATTAATGATTTTCCAAGACGTCTTTGATTTATTAGTTGAACTCATTATTATTTGTAAGTTTTGAGGTTTTCACGGCGATGACATTGAAGAAAGTTGTCTTCTGGGTTTAGGCACCGTGTATTCTTCGTTTTGGCCTTTAACGTTTCGGAGGAACGTAGCGCCTCCATCTTCAGAGCAGTTGAATAGCTGCGGAGAGCAGTAGCTGTGGTGATAGGATGTGGAAGGTGCTGCTTATATACAAAGTAGGCAGGGGGGGGTGGTTAGGGAGAACGGACCAATGGGAGCAGTGGAGAGCGATTAAGGTCATATATGGTGTGTGACTAAGGGAGAGGGGGAACGGCCAGTGAGTACAGGAAACTTGAGGTCAATAACACTAGGAAGTGCGGTAGTCAAGAAAAACCGGTAGGTTGAGGACAGGCTAGTGACGTCAATGACATGATGAAGAACTGGTGTGGCTAGTAGGATTCTCTTAAGGGAAAGGATGTTTCACGTCTGTCGAGATTGTGAGAGCGATAAAGACCATATGATGTGTACTAAGTAGGGGGGGGGACGGCCAGTAAATCCAGGAACTTGAGGTCAATAGCACTAGGAAGTGCGGTAGGCAAGAAGAACTAGTTGGTTGGGGACAGGCTACTGACGTCAATGACATGATACCGGGGGACAGGCTACTGACGTCAATGACATGGCGAAGAATTGGAGTGGCTTGTAGTATTTCTCTTGAGGCAAGAGATGAGTGGCTTCCATGACTTGTTGAGACTGAACCCTGTTTCCTTGTTCATGTTGTTCGGATGGAGCTCAATCTCAACGGCCTCCAGGATTATGCGATCTAGATAACGGCTCTTACTGGTGATTATGGCCGTTTTGTGAAACTCGATACGGTGGTCTAGATCGATGCTGTGTTCAGCTACGGCTGACTTGTCCGGATGTTCTAATCGTATATGCCGTTGATACACGGTGCCTAAACCCAGAAGACAACTTTCTTCATTATTATTTCATCATAATACATCGCTTTTGCTCTACTGATAACTTTCCTTAACAAAGTACAGTATCGAGTATAACACTCTTTTAATCTTGGATTAATAGTTCTACACATCATATATAAATACATTTTATGCCTACAGGATATTCTAATACCTTTTGTAATCCACTGATTAGGATAGGCATTATTTTTCACATATTGCATTGGAAATCACGTTTAAAAAAATAATTAAAAAGGTGTTAAAGTGACAATAAAACTAAAAATATTGTCCCAGATTTCATTTTTGAGCATATCAGTAAAAGTTTTGATACTAAGCTCTGTTATAATTCTTCTTTTAACAAATCTATTCGTTTTCCTTCGACAACTGAAAACATTATATACAATCAAATACCGGGCATCATGATCTTAAAGTCCACTGATTATGGAAAACACTTGAAATGTGTTTAATCTGCTGCAATCCAAAAAAATATTATGTACTGCAGTACTAGAATCTTTATTTGTCCTGGTAAGGAAATCAACAACCTGAAATAGGTTGTACGTTAGAAAAAGTGAAATAACCTGATGAACTTTACTTGAATTTTCTAAGAAATTTACACTAAAATCACCACATATTATTATTTAAAATTTTGGCTTATATATAAACTTTAAAATTATTTAGAGTTGCTTAATAAATTCCTCAAACATTGCCACAGGGAGATCTGTAAATACATAATATTATAATGAAATAATTGCCGATTTTCATCTGGGCTGCACATGCCTCAGTAACCTTTTCTATGCAACACTGAGCTATATCAGTGTGATTGCAGTCCATATCCAGTTTACAGTAAATGCATACCCCTGCTCTTTTATTAAGTAAACGTGAGAAAATTTGGAGGTTAAACTATAAGTGTCTGGTTTAATCATTAAAAGTTTCTGCTCTGTTAAGTAATGTTCAGTTACACAAATTAGCAATATTATATTTAAGCATCCTGTTACACTCACACAATATATATGAGACAACCTCCATCTTAAGTGCAACAATTTAATTGTAGTTCTTTCTTCTTCCCTTCCTCCACACTACATATTTCGGCCCTAAGTGGCCATCATCAGGTGTGTATTCTTACATAGCTGCTACACTGTCCGTAGTTTAAAATTTAAAATCACCAGTCATTCCAATTGTATGTATGTATAAAATCTTTGTTAACCTACACGCGCCAATTTGATTTCTAAAATTGACACTTTTTTAAAACTTCAATTCGAATTAAAATGTCTATAAATTTTGTTTTTTTTTTCTTTTTCCAAATTTTCTCGGGGTACACGCCCTATGTCTATAGTGCTGCAGCGGCTACTTCTTGTTTTATCGCTGTTCAGGTATTGTCTGTAATATACAAATATTCGTATTACTATCTTATGTTATGTTATTCTTATATGTTCATACTGTTATTTGTACTTACTCTGTGTAGGCTCTCTCTGTGTGTGTCGCTGCTTATCTTTAATACGTGTGCTGTCTGGTGTATTGTGTGCTGTGTTTTATGTTGGTGAGTATTGGAGGGGGAATGGATAGTGGGGAGAGGGAGGTACCATTAGTCTGTATAGATTTCGTGTATCATTTGAAATATGGGATTGTATGTTTCTATGTGTTTGTCATTCATGTGTAGGCCCTTCTTACTTATTTTATATATATGGTATTTCTCTAATGTATTCAAATGTCTACCCTTCTTTCCTGTTGTTATAACTTCCACTACGTCTGTTATCGTTCCGTATGCATGTCCTGTATTTAAGAAATCAGACTGATGCATGTAGGTTAACAAAGATTTTATACATACATACAACCGGAAAGACTGGTGATTTTAAATTTTAAACTACGGGCAGTGTAGCAGCTACGTAAGAATACACACCTGATGATGGCCATTTAGGGCCGAAACATGTAGTGTGGAGGAAGGGAAGAAGAAAGAACTACAATTAAATTGTTGCACTTAAGACGGAGGTTGTCTCATATACACAAATTAGTTCGTGACTAAGTAACATACTAGTCAATTAATCAATTTTATGTTGAAGGGCCCTGATATTTTGATGAAATATATTTAGTGAGTTGCACACTGTATGCTTGTATTTAGAATTTACTATTCGTGTTAGATCCCAGATACTATGCAAAGGCTTCGAATTCTTTATATTTAGAGGCATTATCATAAAAAAAATCATTACTTTTATTTGCTGGTTGTCTCCTGACTAGCTTACTTAATGACAAGGAAGACGCCCTTCCAAACTGTTTCCCTTTGTCCACAGACAAGGTTACCTGAACTTCTTAACTAATACTATCCTTACTTTCACACTCCTCCATTTTATCCTTCATTGTGCCTTCTTCCAGTTTAAAGGTATAAGAGTCTGTTCACTTTTATTAGATTTATTTTCTATAAGTACTTTTTTATTGCTAGTGGGGTGAGACTAAGTCCCTTGTACTGCAGCCACTTCTGGCCTATTGTACCAGCCCCAGATGATAGGTGTGGGTGATTGTGGAGCAATTGGTGGAATGAAATATGATATAACTCCATCCTAAGTGCAAACTATATATTATAGGTCTTTCATTTTGCTCTCCTTTACACACTACAGGTTTTGGCCACAGACGGCCATCATCAGGTGTATACACTCACATATCTGTTACACTGCACTTAGCTATAACATTTAAAATTTAAAAACATAGGTCTTCCTGACTGTTCCTTTTGTTGTTATTACCAACGTAGTAAAGATAAGCAGCGGCACGCACACAGGGAGACTACATCATGTTTATAAATCTTTAAAATCAAAGATGATAAATGCCTTGTCTTTCAAATTCACAGTAACTTACACTGAGGTAGGTGAACATTAAACATATTATCTATCCATAAACTAAGGCGAACACACTTTGCAATGAGGACAGTTATCATCAATCATGAAAAGAGAAACTAAAAATTAGTTTACACTGATTTTTCTGTTCCAGCATGTCAGCTGGAATAATCTTCTGGGGACATTCAACAGGCAGTTAAGTGTTCTACACCCAAATAATAGCCATTAGAATAATGGCAGGCGTTGGAAGGAGTCTCTCATATGGAATCATTTAAGAAATTTAGCTAGTAAATTGCAGCCCTCATTATCATCTGTTGTGGACAACACTGAAGAATTTCCATCACATTCTGACTGACATGCACAGTATAAGCACAAGATATAAATATAGCCTCCACATGCCAGCCACTAATGTCAGTAAACACAAGAAAATNGAAAGCCTCAAATCTTACACAAGAAAATAGTTTACCATATAGGAATGAAGTTATCTGGTAATCTGCCTCCTACAATCAAGCATTTGAATCATATAAAATTGTTTAAGTCAGCGTTAAAAGACTTATCTCCTATCTCACTCCCCCTGCTCTGTAGAACAATCTACCAGAATAAAATATTCTCAATTATATATAGATGCAATAGTGGAGTGACTCTTCCTTACAGTTATTTGGTGCAGTTCTGCAGAATTTTCTGAAATCATAATGTTTGCAGATGACACAAGCATTGTCTGTACAGCCAAGGACTATAATAATTTAAAAATAAAATTAGATGATATTTGTAGTCATATGAGTAGATGGTTTCAGGCAAATCTTCTTGCATTAAATCTTGACAAAACAAAAATTATAAAGTTTACACCAACAATTCATACTGATTATCCACTAACAACTATGCTTCTTAACACAATACTCAAAACAGCTGAAGCTACAACATTTCTGGGTTTACAGATTGATAATCATATGACTTGTAAGGTGCATGTAAATCAGTTACTTCATAAATTGAGTATGGTTGGATTAGAAATGCGAAAATTATCTTACATTCTAAACAAAAATAACTTAAAATCTGTTCATTATGCATATTATCATTCTTTAATGAAATATGGCATAATATACTGGGGTAATACCCCTGATTGTCTTAAAGTTTTTCGNCGAACGTATCAGAGGGGTGTGTATTACTCAGGTGTCAGGTTCTTTAGCATGTTACCAGACAGTATCTCAATGTTACGAACGTATCAGAGGGGTGTGTATTACTCAGGTGTCAGGTTCTTTAGCATGTTACCAGACAGTATCTCAATGTTACGAACGTATCAGAGGGGTGTGTATTACTCAGGTGTCAGGTTCTTTAGCATGTTACCAGACAGTATCTCAATGTTACGAACGTATCAGAGGGGTGTGTATTACTCAGGTGTCAGGTTCTTTAGCATGTTACCAGACAGTATCTCAATGTTACGAACGTATCAGAGGGGTGTGTATTACTCAGGTGTCAGGTTCTTTAGCATGTTACCAGACAGTATCTCAATGTTACGAACGTATCAGAGGGGTGTGTATTACTCAGGTGTCGGGTTCTTTAACATGTTACCAGACAGTATCTCAATGTTAAGAACGGATAAAGATCAATTTAGGGTTGCTTTAAAAAGATACTTATTAAGAAATTCCTTTTACTCCATTGAGGAATTTGTTGACCATGTAAGAAGCATAAAGATAAATGCACAGTTAAAACATATTGTGGGTCCTGTCTTTGTTCTGAGTCAAGGGGGCCGTTCTCAATTGTTTTAACATCTAATATTTAAACTAAGAATTGGAAAGTTGAATTGTATCAATTCTATGCATAACTGTAGTACCAGATCTATCTGTGATCTGCATTATCCGCAAACTAGTCAAACACAATTCCAAAAAGGAATATGTTACATGGGGGTAAAGATCTTAAATCATTTGCCACCAAAAATCAAATCTATGTCTAATGACTTAAAAAATTTTAAAATTCAGTTGACAATATTTTTACTGCAAAACTCCTTTTATACACGTGATGAATTCTTTAGTAACAAATTTGCCTAGAAATAAGGATAATAACATAAACAATTTTAATATTGCATAATTTTATGTATAGTGATGTAAGACTGTAAATTTAACACATGTTTTTTTATCTATACAATACAAGAAAGAAAGATAACTTATTCATAGTTCCATGTAGGACGAGTATGTGTAAAAACAACTTCAATAATATTGGACTTCGTCTTTTAAACCAATTGCCACAATATATAAAAGATATACCGGCACTATATAAATTTAAAAAGACTTTGAAAACATTTCTACTTGAA